CGGCATTCGCTCAAAACTGCAAGTTACAGAACTCATTTGTCACTGTATTTGCTTAACTAGATAGCATGCTGCAACATGCATTTTAAGTACACCGGATTGCAAGCATTCTGAATTTATATGTTTTCTCCTCCAACATTTATTGCAATCTTTTCACCTTTTACATACAGCAAACTAGCGTAGTTACCGAAACATTTGCCATACTCAAGGATACACAATATTAATTGCTCAATCAACCTGCATTGACACACTGGATTTAACATGCCATATTGAATTATGGATCATTTTTCTAACCTTACCAAGTCAATCTGGAGCAGAGACATCTGCTGTTTAGCTGGCGTATTTTTTAACACACCTGCTTCCATAACTATTGTACTATCACTAGTTTGAACAGAAGCACATACTTCATACCTTGCACATTTTGGTGCCTGACTACACACTTCACAAATATTTATTTCATTAACTCATCTTCACTCGAGAAAAAATTCTGCATTTTATTGGAAACAATCATTTTACTAATATACCGTATACTGAATTGATTTGTTCTGTACTGAAGTTGCTTTCTTTTTAAGAAAAACCACAAACATAGTATTTTGTGTGTTCTTCTAATACCAAGGAAGAGAACATGTATCAATACAGACATGCTTAAATCAAATGCCACCATTGCCTTATTAACATTCTCTAGTTTTTTAATTTAAATACACTATCACGGAAGAAGGGCAATATACATCCAACATTCCCCTTTAACTTGGTAATACAAAACATTTAACAAAAAAGTTGAAGGCAATATTAAGCTAAAACTTCTATAATTTTCAAGCGTTCCATTGTCAGAAAACTGAGATGGTCACACTGTGTTACAGAATTGTGATTTTTACTATAAAGTAAGGATTATCTTGCAAAGAAATTAAGGAATATGGTAAAGAGCATCAAGCATAAATAGCTTCAGCATTTTGTGTAAAACTAAGAACAACATTCAACTTTTAAAATGAATACATGGAGCTGTAACTTGCTGATTAAATGAGATTAACAATTGGACATTCTTGTAGCAATAGTGCTTAGGAAGCAATGAAATAGTTGTATTTTACAGCTTATGGACAAAAAAAATATTGCTAACTCTTTACTATTTCTATGATTTGTCCTTGCCTGCCTCATTAAGCCCTGCTCTTCACCAAGAAGCAATGAAATATAATTCAACTGATTCCAGATTGCTTCCTGACAATTAATAACTGAAACAAGCATCAAGCTACCTTTACTAAATCTGCTGTTACCTTAGAAAGTTTAGGAGAGTAGAATACAGACAAAAGACAACCCAGCTGTGTTAGGCAAGGCTCACCACCTGATAAACTTGCAGAACAACAATTAAAACACTAGACTGAGTTGTAAATTGGAGTAGCATGAACTAAAGCTTACCACATTTTAAAAAGATATTTCTGTTACAATTAGGAACCACATTGATTTTATTTTCTTGTCTTATAATCCATCTTACAGACAGAAAAAGAATGCATATTACCTGTTGTACTAAGTCTTTCTAAAAGCATTTACGCTCCAAACTTCAGCATTGTGATAAATACTGTGGATGTAAGATGATGTCAGATCATTTTATTTCCCTGCCAAGCACTCTGTAAATGAGAAAATGAAAGACTTGTTCCTAAGATTACTTACCCATGAAGTTCAGATAGCTCTCTCCTCCAAGTGCATGAGTAATGAGACGAATCATTTTATGAAGCTGTATTCCACGATCAATAACTGGAGTAAGAGGTGAGAGCACACTCATGTTTGTATACATTTCTGCGTCCATCAGTCGAAACGCCAATGTCTTATCACCAACAAGCGCCTATAACAGTTCAAAAAAAAAAGTGAAGAAAACCCTTGAGTGTACTAGAAGTGTTTCTAATATTTTTTCAAAGCAGGCGCTCTGTATCGTAGGGGGAGGACTCAGGAGACTGGCAAGGAGTCGAGGACGTGGCTCAGTGTGCATGATCTAGTCTCTGTTAACAAAGAAAACACCCTGCCACTGCCGATCATCATCAGGTCATGGTGACTCTAGCTTCTAATTACCGCAACTTTGTATTGTATGGCGTAATCACGTAGGCATGATATGTATATTCTGCTGCCAGAAAGTATTTAAATTAAGATAGGGACATCCCTGAGCTGAGTCTCAACTGGATACCAGACTCGACTGTTTTCCCCTTTCAACCCTCCACGTGGTTACTGGGGCTCCCCACACCGATGGAGTGTGACTCCTATGGTCAATAACTCCTGCTGTGGTCCTCCACCCTGCTGGGTGGGAGTGTTGATCTGCTGGAGGGTAGGAAGGTCCTACAGAGGGATCTGGACAGGCTGGATCGATGGGCCAAGACGAACTGCAGTAGGCTCAAGACGACCAAGTGCCGGGTCCTGCACTTCAGTCACAACAACCCCATGCAACGCTACGGGCTTGGGGACGAGTGGCTGGTGAGCTGCTCAACAGAGAAAGACCTGGGGGTGTTGGTCGACAGCCGGTTGAACATGAGCCGGCAGTGTGCCAGAAAGGCCAACAGCATCCTGGCTTGTATCAGAAACAGTGTGGCCAGCAGGACTAGGGAAGTGATCCTTCCCTTGTACTCAGCACTGGTGAGGCCGCACCTTGAATACTGTGTCCAGTTTTGGGCCCCTCCCTACAAGAAGGACATGGAGCTGTGTCCAGAGAAGAGCGACAAAGCTGGTGAAGGGCTTGGAGAAAAAGTCTTATGCGGAGCAGCTAGAGGGAGCTGGGGTTGTTTAGTCTGGAGAAAAGGAGGCTGAGGGGAGACCTTATCGCCCTCTACAACTACCTGAAAGGAGGTTGTAGCAAGGTGGGGGTTGGTCTCTTCTCCCCGGTAACTACCGATAGGACGAGAGGAAATGGTCTCAAGTTGCGCCAGGGGAGGTTCAGGCTCGACATTAGAAAGAACTTCTTCACTGTCAGAGTTGTTAAGCATTGGAATGGGCTCCCCAGGGAGGTGGTAGAGTCACCATCCCTGGAGGTGTTCAAAAAACGTTTAGATGTGGTGCTTCAAGACATGGTTTAGTGGACATGGTGGCATTAGGTATAAGGTTGGACTTGATGATCTTTGAGGTCTCTTCCAACCATAATGATTCTATGATTCTACATTTCACCTGATGGGATTCAACTGCACAATTACTTCTGAGAACCATTTTACCTAAAGATACCAAATGTGAAATGTTAGCATCAACTCAGTAAGTGACAAGTGACCTACCATTTTGGAATTTTTACAGAAAACACAGAAAATAAGAAAGTAAACATCTCAAGTAAATTTCCTCGGATATACAAATAAAGGGCTATTAACAACACTTCTGATTTAGAGATGTTGAGCGAATATGAAGCATTCATTTATATGCAATCATGAATGCAATTGGTTTTCTGTGATTTCACACAAGAGAAAAACAAACTAGTAATTCTGTCTAAAAACAGTGACAGAATTACTAACTTGCTAGTGCTTACTGTTACTTGAGAAAGGCCACACAAGTGCTATGTAACAAGGATTAATCTAATGTATTAGCATGCAGGTAGTTAAAAACCTTTTTCAGTGTTTGCATGTAAATAGCTGATTATTGTTCAAATAGCCCAGTTCTCATTTTATACTCCAGCATGGAAACTCACTAGATTCCAGACAGACAGATGAGATCTAAACAGGTCTAGCTGAAAAGCATCACCATCCTTTAGTTTTCCAACCAACAATATAACAGCATATATAGGTGATTCCCTCAAGTAAAAAAATAATCTTTTTAAATAAAGAAAAAATTCCTATGCAACAAATGGCAAGACTGAAGACTGCAATGAACAGCTCCAAGGAACAACTATTCTCTGGGCTCAGAGTTTGGCATTTGTTAGTGCCATTTAATATCCCCTAATCTTTCCATTAGAAGAGAAGGTAAATGTTCCCTATTAGTGTTTCTTTAATGATCTCTTTCTCCCTGAAAAGTCTTAGTCTAGGTTTTTTCTTACAAAAACCAGTCCACACCTGCTATTATTCTTACCAACTCCCTCACAGCATTTTTTCCAGTTATGCTGTATATCCTTTGAGATACAGGACCAAATCTGCCTCCAACATTCAGGATGCACACAAAACATAAAAGACTACAGTGGCATACTAATTTTGCTCTTGGCTCTCCATTCCATTCATAATAATTCCAGTACTGTATCTGCTTTTTTGACAGCTATTAGCATTGTGTTGCTATTTTCACACATTTATTATAATCACAAGGCCCTGTATTGTGACTGGTAATTTGTAGCTCGTAGCCCACTATAACACATAAGAAACTAGAATTGTTTCAGCCCCTCATGTGCATCATTTCAAGTATCTTCAGATTGAATTTTATCTATGCTCCCATTTTGTTTCTCTGTCCTACTTTTCACGTATCATCCTGGTGTATGTCTGCAATCGCCTTTTTTTAAATTAAAAATAAACAGATCTTCTTCCCAAGTCGAGATTCTAAAACAAAACCACATAGCGATACGGGAAACAACTCAACTGATAAAATCCAGTATGAAATAAAATAACAGCAACAGTAATGTTTATGTCATGCTTTAGAATGAAGAATCAGCTTTTATAAAAGCAAATAATCACAGAATAATACGCATTTCCAAGTAGTAGCTGAAGTTCTTTACCAGGATCGGGACTCTTATGCCTTAAATGAACACTATGTAACAGTCTGAGATAAGAATGTAAACAGGTACATAAAATTAAGCTGAAACTCAGAATTCTCTTTTTAAAATAAAATTTTAAAGGCCTTGTTTTGGACACTTCTGTTGACTTTTATTATAGAAGGTATAGGAAATAGAATATCAACCTCTACTATGTAAAGGAAAGAGTTGAAAGTAGGTTACTGACAACTTTAAAAAAAATTTATTTTTCTAATAAAAGTTCTAATTTTTAAAATTCTCAACCATTGTGTTTTCTGATTCTTCAGAAACAGCCATTACAAAGATTGTGGGAGATGAGTGTTATCCAAACTCATCATTACTTTTTCATTTTTCCATATACAGAACCATTACAATTGCTGTGTTTTGAACCAAACTGTTAAAGAATATTTGATTTAGATCTCAAAACAGGATGCTTGCAATCCTTTCGGAGAGGCAACATTTTCTTGAAGGGAATACAAATTTAATGATCTCTTTCTCAGTGAACAAATATACTGATTCAGTGAACAAATTTGCTAAATTGTGATATTGTTTAAGCTTATCATACATAGTGCTCCAGCTCACTTTATGAAAATCAGATTTTCAAAAGTATGGATTATATGCCTTCCTATGCCCTATGACAGGCAGGCAAAACAAGAAGCTAAGACTCATTTCTTTAAAACAAAAGAAAATTGACAAACAACAGCACCCACCCACTCCAAGCAGGACTCCTTTATTAAAAAGAAGGATGAAAACAAAAGAAAAAACTCACAAGAAAACCCAACCAAAAAAGAGAGCAGTAGTCCAGATCTATCTGTCTCTGAAATTGTTGACTATCCTTCTCAACTCTTGCCTCATTTTTGAAAAATAAAGCCCACCAAACCTCTAAACCTCATATTTTACTTGCTTATATATAAACAAACAGATACAATACCTGGTCATGACTCTCTGCATATGCAATGTATTTTTCTTCATATCGTCTGTTTGTTAATGTATGCACAATATTGCCCATATTCCAGTCTTCATCCTTCAGCTCCTTAATTATCTGCAGAAATAAAGGAAAGATCATTGAAAAGTTATTGCTATTTTAGTTAAAAGCACATTACTACCTTTCTTCATTATTTCGGCACAGAAATTTCCAATGGACTGTTAACTATTACTTTAACTCCTCCTGTTCCCAAGTATTGAAGTGATGAGCTTTCTTTGATAATCCAAACAGATTTTTTTCTTTTGAATTTCACTACATAAATATACTAACTAGAACTCTCCTGTACTTCCATGGATAAGCCTGGACAACAGGACATGCTATCTACTATGTCAATCCTCTGATACAGTGGGCAATGTGATTAATAGGGGCTGCAAGAAAGCAGTGCGCCAAAAACTGGGAATATGTGCGCACACACCTACCTACACATGATATTGAAAGAAGTCCTGTATTTCAAGAAACCCGGGCATACGGCAGCTTCCAACTATAGGTTAACCACTGGGCTGTGTGGTGGAGAACGGATCATTGAAAGATAGTGCTATGCTATTGCCATGAAGCACACAATAATACGAGAAGGTGGCTCAGCAGAGGGACTTGCATGTTCCCTTGATCTGTCAATTCCTGGTCAGTTCCAAACCACAGTTTCAATGCCAAAGCCTTATAATACAAAACAAGCTTTACATTTTTTGCCATGCTAGCCCCTGACTTTTAGCAGTTTAAACTAAATCTCATCAATTGGAATTTTCTGCCTCTTATGACACTATTTCCTCCCTCTTTTAAATCTAGTCTAATTTCAGTATTAGTCCTTTCTTTTTTCTATAGTACTTTATAGACCTCCATTGATCATTACAACTTAAATACATATACATAAATATATAGACATAAAAGTGATAAAAAGGCAATTAACACTGAGATGGTTGATATGATGCTGTAAAATTTAACATTTTGATTGTAACTGGCCATGTACTCCTGAACAGCCTTTATTTTGACTCCATAAATTCTGGCTCTGAACACATTGATGTCCCTATGCAGCATTATATTATGCACTACATCCATCTTTAATTTGAACTAGTACAGCCAGTGTTATGACAAACCACTTATCTTACTTTTACAGACCCCTCTGAATTAGTTCATGGAATCCTGGAGATCCTTCAGGTTTAAAACTGATTTTAGGAAGTTGCCTAGACAACTTGCTATTAACAGTACATAGTTAAAAGCTGGAGAGAAATTAGAGCAAGCAGTCTAGGACAGTTTGATAACAGCTGACACTCTGAACTCTTCCCTTCCCATTGTTTCAGCTCTATATTTGCCTTAAGAAATGTGGTAACAAACTTACATGCATCACCTCTTTCTCTAACTCAAGGTCTTTGGTTGTGGTTGCTTATTTGCAGTTCCCTTAGCTAGAAGCTTCCTGCCTGCATCACCTTATGTTCTTGTACAATCAACACATTCCTAAATAACTGGAGTCTGCTCCAGTTAACCTAGACTATCACAGCTGAATTTACACCCAACATCCTGCTGGCGTGCCAAGCATCCACCTGCTGTCCCATGTTAAGTACATGCTTAGGCTGGAAGATTTTTTTTCGCCAGTTAAAGATAGGTATGTTTCCTCTCCAAGTATTGCAAATTAAAATAAGCAGACTGTATCAGAGATTGCTAAATTAGATTACCCATCTTCTGCCCTTGCAATATTCTACAGTCTGTTCTTTTTCTCTCTAACAGGAACTCAGCCACTTGCATTTTGTCTACCTACAAAACTGCTCATCTTTGTCGGCTCCAAAGTGCAGTAAGGAAGTTGAAGGTGTAAGGGGAAAAAACCAAACCCATCACAACAAGGTATTTCCTGTTACTATAAAAATATATTAGTCCTTGCTGCATTCCAGGATCTAAATTACACACTCCAAAGTTTAACGATGCTGCTCCTGTTGGAAAAGCTAGCAAGTTTGTCTTCTGAATGACAAGAGGTTTGAAAAACTGTTTTTCAATCAGCCCTCCACCTCCTAGTCGCAAAAGTGAAAGATGCTGAAGATAAGTCAATTTGCTTTTTATTTTAAGCCACTCACTATATTTATTGAAGCATTAATGCTCATATAAAAAATTTATTGTTTTCAGATCATCATGATAACCTGAGGGATTTGGATGCAGTCTTCTATCTAAAACATCAGTGGAAGCCTTTTGCGATCATCTAGTGTTTTATTCCTTTTCTTGTGATTCTCTGTATTAAAGAAAAGGTGATTTAAATCCTTATCATAGTCAGTGTTTATTAGTATATTATGGTTCCTGAAGAGCATTTACAGACTTCTATTATTCTTTTTGTAACCTCACTGTACCAATTGCTGGTGTTTGTATAATTCACTTACTTTTACTTCGGTTAAACTTTCAGCTCACACTATGTTCAATGCCAATTACTATGTCCAATTTCAGGAGGGTTCATTGCATGTTTTTGGAGTGTTTTGGTTTTTTTTGGTAATGTTTATATGCACATGGTTATTATCTACCTGTTCCCATTCAATAGAGACTCCACATTCTACAGCTGTTGCCAAGAAAAAGGATACTTCAAACAAAATGAGTTTATGTGTATTCTACAAAGAAAACATCAGCTAGAATGCAAAGAATAGCCCCTGAACTTGCTCATCTTCTGAAATCTACATGACACCTGACAGCTCTCATTTCAGCCACTAATACCTGTACTCAAGCCTGTCAGATTTCATTTTAATAGGACATTAACAGAAGAGAGAGTAAAATTTGTCAGTAGGATTCAGAAGTGGTTTTGTGTATGCACAGATAAACATCCCACTTGGAAGAGCAGAACATATCTTAAAAAAGTTCCTACCTGTATCCATTTATCTGGAATAGCCATGGCTAGTCGATAATCGAAACCCCCTCCTCCCTCTGCAACAGGACGACAAAGAGCTGGCATTCCAGAAACATCCTTAAATAAAAATAACCCCACAAGATAATTTGCAGAGCATTGCAATTATTAGTTCATATTTTCTACCATACAGTAATAGTTTTATACAAACACTTTGTAAACTATACACAGCTTCACAGATTGACCTGGGTAAGGGGCAGGGGGGGGGGAAGTGATTACTACACCCAGATTTGCTGTTTGAATGCAAAAGTTACAAGGAACAGCATTATGACTTTTCTCATCAAATTCTCTACTACAAAATATTTTAATAAAGCAGATATTTGAGGGGGAAGAGGCCTCAGTAGATGCAGAATTTGAAACAATTAGCTCTCTTGAGCCCCAAGTAATCAACAGAAAGTAGAAAGTAGTCAACAAAAGACAAATTAAACCTTCATTTTGTTTATTGATATTTTGCATAATGAATGGCATAAAAATAAAAGGCTGAATATGAAATACAGTAAGGAAGGAAAATACAATCTCTACTCTTTTCCTAATGCACAAACCCAAAATATTGATCCAGCTAGCCCTGGAAAGTGACATGCTCTGACTGCATAATTTTCCAGTTTCATATTGATGGAGGCTGATCATTCTTAAATTTGTAATTCAAAGTTCTTAAAATATTTATTTTGTCATTTTATTAGGCAATTATGTCACACACCGTTCTTTTTCTAGTTAGCTTAGTTGTATAGAAAATGCAAATCTCCAATAATTGCAAAATATCTATCAGTACTCAGTGTTATTAAACTTATGTCAGAGAAGCCATTCCACCACAATTATTATGGATTAACATACACCTCTTGCATCCACACAAGAGAATTTATGGAATTAAATTCTGACAAGAACCAAGGCTTAATTCGGAAGCTCATTCTGGTTTTCTGGATTCAATCCAGTTTTCAATCCAATTGCTGCATTAGATTAGTGAAAGAGGCATTTGCACTTGAAGTTATGCATACATACACTTACATACATACACACATCCCCCTATTCCCCCTTACTGACATAAGCGAGGAGACCAACTACATCATCATGAAGCTCATGGATGGCATCCTGGGGGTGGAAGACAGGGTTGCCATCCAGAAGGGACCCTGACTGGCTGGAGGAATCGATCAATAGCAAGCTCAGGAAGTTCAGCAAAAGGGCAACGGTCAAATCCTGCTCCTGGGATGGATTAAGCGCTGCATCTGTACAGGCTGGGGACTGCCCAGCTCTGCTGGGAAGGCCCCGGGGCTCAGGGCCAGCAGCAAGCTGAGCATGAGCCAGCAGCCCACCCTGGCAGCATCCTTGGCTGTATGAACAGCAAAGCCAGGAGATCAAAGGAGGGGATTATGCCCCTTTACTCAGCAGTCATTAGATCACACAGAAAACTGCATCCACATTCCACATGTTGTAAATACCAAAGTGGAAATTCTCTCCAAACTTTTAGGTATTATAAAAGAAAGTTCAATAGTTCTCCTAAATCATCCAGAAAGGATAAAAACCAGACTAATGCTCTCCAAATTATGCAGGACAAGTTGATCTGAAACTAAAGCCTTTCTCTGTGAGGCTATGATGCCTACCTGCACAAAGTCTGAGTTTAAGTAGCTCCCATATACTTTAGTCACAATTTTGAAAGCCGGACTTTTGGGAAGTAAAATTCCAAATTTAATAACATTTGTATCTATCTATATCTATAGATGTTACCTGAACACTAAAAAAATATTTCTGTGTTAGTTTGTTCAGTATATTTTCCACTAAACGTAAACAGACAATGTCTAAGCATTTGTTCAGACCTATGTTTGAAATGAGCTGCATATTAAAAAAAAGATATCACAGCAGTAGGAGTTTTTTGCCTGTTTGTTTTTATACTACCTCAGGCATGATGTAATTTCATTTAACATCTTTTCTTCTCATTATACAAAATTTTAACAGCTTTATTTAAAAGGCCAAAACAAAAAATAAGCATATAGTCAGTAACACCTAAAAAATTAGAAATAACCAAGATAGTGAATATACAGAATATTATAAAGCTGTAAAAGGATCAGTTAAATAATTAAGGACTATATTATAATTAGTTATGGCTAGACAAAACACTTTCTCATGTGGCACTCATTCCATCATCATTATAGGCAAGCAGACATTCTTCATTGCCTTTTATAATTTTCAATTACGTCAACAGTTTCTCCTTCTGAAATTCTCCTTTCACCATGCAGCACGTTGATCAATTCTATATTTCATGTAGCAACTCCCCCAGGCAGAAAATGATGTATTGAAACAGAAGCAGATTTTGACTCAAGCAAGAGAAGCTGAAGACATGTCTTATTAAAAAAAGAACTCTTAAGTCAGGTAATACAAGCAGACTGAACTCAGAATTTCATTGGTAGGAATGCTTATAATGTAAGACTACTTAGAAAATTAACAAGTTGCACTTCAAATAAGCCTACAGCTCAATGAAATCATCTCAAGTTTACTAGTGATTGCTCACCAGATGCTGTTTTTGATAGCCTGTCATTCAGCTTTTAGCAGTGGTTCTCTATAATATAAAACTTTACCATAAGTGAGAAATGAAGTTAGGCAGTATTTTGTTTTCTGAAGACAAATAGGGAACTCTAAGAAATACAAAAAGTTTTATTAGAAATCCATATAGTCCATAATGAGATCACAAGGACGTAACTTTTTCTTTTAAATGAAAAGAATTATTTACACATAACAACAGAAAAATCCTCAAAGTTTACATGATTTTCTCTTTTAGATAAAGAGAAAATATCAGTGAAAATGTACCTATTCATAAAGTTTTAATGCTCTGGTATTTCATACTATTGAAAAATTCCATGTGCCAACAATAATATTTTTCAGTCAAAAAAGTTTACTCTCAGTCAACTCAAGTAATACTGTCTATTTACTCCCTCAGAAACCTGGAGAACCTGAACACTAAATTTAAATTAGCATACATGTTCAACATCTATAAATTTATCGCATTTATTCTGAAAAGGAATTGTCAATTATGCCAATATAATTCAAAATATGCAAAACCACACTAGGGCTGTTAATCCTTAGTACCAGGAATCACTAGTGACAAATGGCAATCATGCAAAAGCAGTAAACTAATAAAAACAAATCTCATTACAAGTTCAAGGAGATGAAGGAAAAAAAAGAAATCCCCACATTAATTAATGACCTATTAATGCAGAGAAAATTCCCAAAGTGCATATTCTAGTTGTTTTTCCCCAGAAGGCAAAGTCTGTCCACTAATTAATATTTCTCAGCTCATGTCACTCCTTGAGTACCCGAAGTGTAACTTGATAATTAACAGGAAATTCTCATCCCAAAGCAAATTAATCAATATTAATGTAACTGAGGATGGCAAATTCTGATCTTACCTCTGCTATGGTTATGCATTCCGGATGCAAGAAGTTAATCATATGGTTGGCCAGCATTAGATAACATAAAGCATCTTCATCCACATGTAGGCCAAAATATTCATTGTAATCTCCACTAAATGCTGTGCCTAATAAGACAGGAAGTTTTAAAGGTCACAGTCACTTTAAAAAAAAAACCAACCAAACATTCTGCAATACACAATTTTATAAGCACCAAATTTATTCATAATTTCAGATCAGGGAGCTGCTTGGTAGAGAACCATGGGATAAAGCCCTAGAGGGAAGAAGGGCCCAAGAAAGCTAGTTAATATTCAAGGATCACCTCGTCCAAGCTCAGGAGTGATGCATCCCAACAAAGAAGTCGGGCAAAAATGCCAGGAGGCCTGCATGGATGAACAAGGAGCTCCTGGACAAACTCAAACACAAGAAGGAAGCCTACAGAGGGTGGAAGCAAGGACAGGTAGCCTGGGAGGAACACAGAGAAATTGTCTGAGCAGCCAGGGATCAGGTCAGGAAAGCTAAAGCCCCGACAGAATTGAATCTGGCCAGGGATGCAAGGGCAACAAGAAAAGTTATTATAGGTATGTTGAAGATAAAAGGAAGACTA